TCCAGAAATTGACAGAATACCAACTGAAATATTTTAACAAGCTGATGAGGCACTGGAAGCATTCACTGACCTACACCAAGAAATTTGGAAGACAGCTACCTGAAAGAGATCCATATTAGTACCTATTCCAAAGAAAGATGACCCCACCTCGAATGTGGAAATTATCAGACAATATCATTAATATCACATGCAAATAAAATTTTGCTGAAGGTCATTCAATAATTGCTGCAGTATATCAATAGGGGGCTGCCAGAAATTCAGGCTGGATTCGGAAGGACATGGAAGTATAAATAGCATTGCTTCACTTGTGTTTTATTGACTACACAAAGGCTTGTGTGGATCACAACAAATAACAGGTAGCCATAAGAAGAATAAGAATTCCAGAACACTTCATCGCTCTCACACAGAACCCACACATGGACCAAGCAGCGGTCAAGCAGAGCAAGGGGACACTGCATTGTTCAAAATCAGAAGAGGTGCTCATCAGGGCTGTATCCTCTCACCGTACCTGCTCAACCTGGATGTGGAGCAAAGCATCAGAGAAGCTGGACCGTATGAAGAATGTGGCGTCGGGATTGGAGGAAGGCTTAACAAATTCTGGTATGCAGACAACATAGCTTTGCTTGCTGAAAGTGAGGGGAACTGGAAGCCCTTGCTGATGAGGATCAAGAATTGCAGCTGCCACACGGAGGAATGGATGCATAAGGAATACAAGGGGATCTAGGAAATACAAGGGGTGGGTAGATAGGGAGGGAAAGGGGATTTGGGGAGGAACTAATGACGACAGATGGGAGGGGGAGGGAGCACTAGAACAGATTGTGATTGCATAAATCATCTTAAAGGTGATTTAAGGGGGGGGTGTCTAAAATTGATGTGGGGGTAATTGTACAATTCTCCTTGATATGATTGAATGATTGAACTATTGAATTATAGGATATGTAAATTACTTGCCAATAAAACTGTTGGGGGGGTGGAAGAATTGCAGCCTTTGATATGGATCACAACTCCATGTAAAGAAAACCAAAATTCTCACAACTGAAGCAAAGGTTGAAGTTGTCAAGGATTTCATCTTGCATGGAACCACAATCGATGCCCATGAAAGCAGAAATCAAATGGCACATCGCACTGGGTAAATCTACTGCACAAGTATTGAAGAGCTAGGTTGTCACTTTGAGGGCTAAGATCTACCTGACCCAAATCATGGTAGTTTCAATCACCTCGTCTGCATGTGAAAGTGGGACACTGCATATGGAAGCCCAAGACTAACCAATGCCTGCGAAATACAGTGCTGGCGAATGTTCAAATACCATAGACTGCCCAAAGCGCAAGCAGACCTGTCTTAGAAGAAGTACAGGTGGGACGCTCCTTAGAAGCAAAGATGGTGAGACTTTGTCTCGGGTACTCTGGAATCGTTACTGAGAGACCAGACCCTAGAAAAGGGCATCATGCTTGGTAAAGTAGAGGGGCATCAAAACAGAGGAAGACCCTCAAGGAAATGCATGGATGCAGGGGCTGCAACACCGGACTCAAACACAGCGTCGCGAGGAAGCTGCAGAACCAGGCAGAGCGCTGCTCGGTCCGTGCGGCGAGTGGGAACGGATCCGATGGCACCTAGCACCAACGAATCAGAACAAGACAGCCAACAGAAACTGGGAAGTGGCAGAAAAGGATTCTACCCATCTGTGAAGCATGTTTTTATAAACAGCAGCTCTGTATCCATTGAAATCATAATCAAATCCCCCCAATGCTACTTCAAACACTACCTCGGTCCAACCACTTCTCCCCGTTTTCCCAAAGCATTACAACTCAGAACAAACAAAACTCACCCACTCTCCTGCCATGGAGTCATTCAGCCGATAGTGACTCGACAGGACAGGGGAGAACTGGCCCTGTGGGCTGCCTTTGCCCTGAAGAGCGGTCGATGGTTTCAAACTGCCAACCTTGCTGTTAGCTGCCCAACATGGAACCTACCACGTCACCAGGACTCCCTGTGAGCTTCCCGTTGACTCGGCTACTACTCTTCCTCCCTTCCAGTCTAAATGCCCCACCAGAGCAGCCAGGCAGATCGAAAGGCTACAGTGGATTTCCACTTCCCTCAAAGGGACATAATGCCCATCCGCCTGACCACCAAACTGAAAAATCAAACTCGGCCCCGTTCCATTTCCGACTCCGAGTGACCCTATAGGGCAGGGTAAAACTGGCCGTGAGTTTCCAAAACTGTAACCCGATACAGGAATAGAAAGCCTCTTCGTTCTCTTATGGAGCAGACGATGGTTTCAAACTGCTGACCTTGTTAGCAACTCCAACTCAAAACCACTATAGCACCAGGGCTCCCACTCCATTACCGCTGCTATCACCCCATCTATTTTCACTACCCTCTTCCAGCTTTCCTTGACCATGCCAAGAATGTCCCTGCCTCAGGCCCTTTGCATTTCCTGCGCTCTATGCTTTGAACAAAACAGCCCAGGTGGCATGGTCAGGTAAGCATTGGTCACTCACTGCAAGGTCAGAGGCTTAAACCCACTAGTCTTCAGGAGGAAGATGAAGGTGTCTGCTCCCGTAGACTGACAAACCTCAGAAACCCTTTATGTACCTGGGTCACTTGGTCAGAAACAACTTCATGGTGGGTTTGGGTTTTTATACCTCTTGCAATTTTGAACCGCATGAATATACAGTATCTATGCAGAACACAGGAGCCCTGGTGATGTAGTGGTTTCATGTTGGGCTGTGACCCACAAGATCCAAAGTTTGAAACCACCGGCCCCTCCTAGGCAAGGGATCCTACTCCAGTAGTTAGTCTTGGAAACTGACAGGGGCACTTCTACCCTGCCCTGTAAGCTTGTCATGAGTCAGAATTGACTCGATGGCAGTGTTTGGTATTCAGAAAAACGTGAGTTAGAAAATTTTCCGTTCTAGTCGCCTCCCCAGGATCAATGCCAACTTGATCCTTCCACAGATCCACACACAACCCAACCCACCCCCAAAATCAGGTTTTTCCCCTTTTTGAAAAACCACCTAATGGGAAATGTCCGCACTTCTGCCACTTTGTTCTGGCAGATTCTTACACTTCGCATGGCCTCTCCACCTTTCAAAACCTGCCTCTGACATGGACAAGCAAACTATTCTAAGGCAGGTTGGGGATAAGTGACATTTTTTACTATCATCACATACACGTGATTGAATTGCTGTTATCTTCTTAGGTTCCTTAATGGCATCATAACCATGTACGTATCTTTAGGAGATCAATTGAATATAGGAGAGTCAGGGGATCTGTAACTTGCACATTATCTCGAAGGGGGAAAAATCTGTCTAGGTATCAGGGAGCTTCACAAAGGTCATGGAAAATTTCCATTATCTTTGAATTGCATTTTTGGAAGCTTGCTTGTACACACAGGTACACCTATGTACATGTATACACAGAGGTCCATGTCTGCCTGTAGTCATATTGCTGTAAAACCGACCATGGTAAATTGTTAGCAACTGGTGAATCTAGGCAAACAATTATATGCTCGTCTGTTTTTACAACTTTTCTGTAGGCTTGACATTTTCCAAAATACCAAGGTGGAAGAAAACGGTTTAAACCCTACTGAAGTTTTCAAGTATTAGCTCAAATACTGTCCTCTCATAAAGGCCCCTCAGGTTATATTAAATTGGAATAAAACTACTCCCTTCCCTGTATTTCCAGGGTTTTTTACTTATGCTTCTACTTCAATAGACACGGAGTCACTGAGTCATGGAACATCAGCTTTAAGCTTACCAGGTACCTCCTCACGTACACAACTTGAGGCTCAGGCCGCCCAACAAGGTCCAAAGAACTGCTCAGAGGGACCAGATACTGTCTGACATTTTCCAACTCTCAAAAGTAGAGAGGAGACCTAGGGAGAGGCAGGAAGGCCACGGGAGAAAGTGGGAGGGTATAATTGAGAGGCCCAGCCCAAATCAGAGGACTCTGCATGTGCCTTTAAACTGAGATGCCCAAGGTTCAAAGAATTCAATGACTGAACGCCTCTCCATCTTTTCTCTAATATTCTACCAGTTAGTCAGCTTGCTTATTGAACGTGGGTTTCCTTTATGCAGATTAGATCCATGCTCTGCAGCACATACTCACACGCAAGGTCCACACTCGGATTATAAACAGAATCGGAGCAACAGAGGATGAGGCTGGTGAGAATGGCAGCCCCGCAGGAAACACCTGGTCAGTGTCATTGAATGAAAGCTGCTGGGCGGCCAGATGTTCTTGGTTTCTGCTTTCACGATGGAAACCACCACCAAAACAAGGTGGGCGGGGTGGGGGCAGGACTCCCATCTTCTAGCATCTTCTACTTTGGGGCTCACAGACAACCCAGCACTGACTTACCATCAGCAAGAGCAAAAGACAAGAATTCTGAAATTCTGCTGTAAAGCCAAATTGCCCCCGTGACTGGCTCCGGGATCTCGGGCAGGCTGTGGTTTCATGTTTCCTAGCAGTGCAAAGTAGAACGTACCCAGAGACTGAGGCTAGCCAACCCGGGAGCGGCACAGCGAGCCCAACCTCCGAGGGGAGGACCACACGGCCAGACTGCCAACCTACCTCAGATGAGCCAATCAGTGGCTTGACCAGGGAAGGGGGGGTGGGGGAGGACACGCCCCTTTACGTATACCTGTAAATAAATACTTTGGAATTTCTTTTGTAGGGGCTCTTGTCCAAGACGGTGCACGGTGCATGCAGTTAAGCACCTGAGGACTTGAGCCCTGGCTTAAGCTAGCATAATAAAACCTCTTCTGTAATTGCAGCCTTGTGTTCGATCTCCTTCCATTAAAAGAGTAATTGCTCCAGGTCCCTAACACTGCCACCAACTTGCTAAATGGAAAGAGTGCTCATGACCCCCATGGGTCGAGGGCTCCTCTCCTCCAGGCAGTGGAGAGCACTGGGAGGACATACCATGGGTACTCTGTAAAGCCCGAGGCACTTGGGCTTCTGACTAGAGTCACAGTGGGCAAAGGGCAGAAGCAGCAGTAGATATCTGAGAACATAACTTTATTGAAAAGACGGTATGGAGTACAGGAGAGGCTCTTTAAGAATCAGGCTCTGTCACAGGTGGTGGCTTCTCATCATCAGGGGGACAATCAATGAAGTCGGCCAGCATGGCAGCTGTGTCATCCTCCTCCTTTGGGGGACAAAGACATAAAATTTGAAACACACACAGAAGAGCAGGCCAGGGACAGACTTCTCCCCTAACACAAGCAGCTGCAACCCCTTCCTTCTAGCCCCACCTTCCCACTGGAGCTGCCCTTCCTCCCTGGCCCCTCTTACCTTTTCCTGCAGAGTTTCTCCCTCTGTCTCTGTCTCCATCTCTTCTTCAGCAGATGTCTCTGGTGGGGGCGGAGCCTTGTTGCCCCCATCATCAGTCGCCTCTTCCGGCAGGGTTGTAGGGGCAGAAGGCTCTTCCTCAACAAGCTCCTGTGGAGGAGGCCCTGCTGGGGGGCTTTCCCCTTCCCTTTCCACCTCCCCCTGGGAGGGGAGGACCTCGGGAGCCAGGGTGGGGGCTGTCTCAGCCCCAGGCTCCTCCTCTGCCCCTGGCTCTTCCACCTCCAGCAGCAGCCCGGGTTCTGGCTCCGGCTCAGGCTGTGCCTTGGGGGACTCTGAAGGGGGGAGAGCTGGAGGCAGGCATGGGGGTGCAGGTCCGCCTTCTTCCATTTCCCCCCCTGCTGAGCCAAACTCCAGCTCTTCTACCTCTTCCAGCTCTTCTTCCTCCTCTTCATCTTCCTCCTCCTCCTCCTCCTCCTCTAATTCACCTTCTTCCTCAAATTCTTCTTCAAACTCTTCCTCCTCCTCTTCAAAATATTCTTCTTCCTCCTCCTCCTCCTCTTCATCTTCTTCAAAGTCTTCTTCTTCCTCTTCCTCCTCCTCTTCCTCTTCCTCCTCCTCTTCCTCGTCCTCCTCCTCTTCCTCTTCATCACTGCTGTTGATATTAATCACGGTCAAATCTTCTTCCAGGGATGTGGGTCCTCCCCCACTAGGAGTCCCTTCAGGGACCAACTGGGGGGGTGGGAGTGTCACTGGACCAGGAACAGGGAGGGGTGGGGGTGGGGGGAGGGGCCCTGGGGCTGCAGGAAGTTCTTCGGGTTCCTCCTTGGCTGGCAGAGGTGGAGAGGCTGCTGGAGGCCCAGGCGGGGGCCCAGCCGGGGCCACAGGGGGAGGGGTGTTGCCTGAGGGGGCTGGGGGCGGCAGGGGCAGCAGCCCTTCAGGGACAATCACCACGCTGTCATCAGAGTCACTCTCTAAGGAGATCTCCACGTCTGACGCCTCCTCCTTATCGTAGTGAACAAAGGCTGGTCTGGGCACTCTCCCACCAAACGTCTCATCAGCTGGGAGAGCAGGAGGACTACCACTTGGGGCAAGGACTGGGTCCTCATTTGAGGCTTCCCGGTGGTTCTCAGGGCCAGGCAAGAGCCGAGGGGGTACAGAACCCAGGCCTGAGACGGAAAGGCCTAAGTGGTTGGCTGTGGCTGGAGGTACAGGGCGTGCCGGTGGCATCGAGCCTTCTGTGGGCATAGGGCCCGCTGATGGCATAAGGCCCACCGAGGGCATGGTGTTGTTCAAGGGATGGAAAGGTGGGGCCCTGAATGGAGATGGGGCCTCAGGAGGAGGCACTGGGGCTGGTGGGGGGCAGGTGGGGCCCATGGACTGCAGGGGAGGAACCCGGGGATGGGTCAGAGCAGCACAGGTCACCAGTGCTTCGGAACAAAAGGAGGAGACCTGAGGGAGGAAGAAAGGGCAGGGTGAGTATCTGGAGCATGGGGCCCTGGGGGCGGGGCGGGGCGGGGAGAGCCCCCAGGTCAGAAACAAGGGCGCCCAGAAAGCAGAGGTCAGCTCACCTCAAGGCTGTCTTCTCGCTGGCCAAGGGAGAAGGCTTGCAAGGCACACGCCAAAGGTGGCGGACACCGAGGAGAAGGGGCCAACAGCAGTGCCAGCAACAGGCGGTAGAGTTCTCGACGGCAACGGGAGCTAGTATAGGGGGAGCTGCCTAGGGCCTCCCCCTGCTGAACACCCATGACCAAGGGCAGGACCAGATCGTGCAGTCTCTGCAAAGGACAGGGAGCGCTCCTAGAAGCAGCACTTCCAGGACCTGCTCTCAGGGCTGGAATGGGCTTGCCACAGGGTACCCGCCGACCTGTACGGCAGAGGGGCCTCTCCCCAGTCCAGTCCCACTCACCCTGTGAGTCTCTTCCTTGATGAGAGGTCCGCACATGAGGATGGCCCGGCGGAGGCCTGCAAAGCAACGGGGGTAGGCAGGGTGCGCTAAGAGGTGGTCTATGAACAAACTTCAGAGCTAGGGCTTTGGGAGCACGCGGCGCAAGAAGGGCTAAATCCACCGCTGGGAAGCAGTTTTCTCTCCACCATAAAGGAGATCAAAAAAGTATCTCTATGACTTCCCTCAAAGCTGGGCTTTTGTCTGAAGCCGTTTAAAAACCAAATGTCTCTCTCACTTAGGGCTGCTGACAGTGTTCCAATGAGAGGGCTCTACACAGCGTATGCCCCTGCATTCAAGAATATGCGGAAGCTGAAGGCCGACCTATGAACAGCACGGACTCGAAGGAAGGCCACCCATCCCGGCAGCAGCAGGCCGGCAGGCTCTGTGTACAGAGGAGAGTCCTTCCAGCAAGCTGTCCTGAGGAGAACGGCAGCTCCACTAAGGGCGGGGATGAGGCCCCGTGCTCAGAGCAGTACAGGCAGACTGGTCAGTCCGTGAGAGGGGCCGTGGGATGGACCCGCACCCCCATCCAACAAGTGGAGCTGAGACTCTGACCTGGTGCACATGTGGTGGCCTCTACAACTTACCACCTCCACTTCACCAACTGGCTTCCGGCTCTCCCCTCCTGCCACTCCCCAGCCCCAGCCCAGGGCACAGCCCGCCCTCACCTCTCAGTGCAGCTGCACACACATCACTGTTGGCATTGCTATCCCCTTTCCGGTGGCTTGGTGGAGCCACCACATCCCCAACATCTAGCTTCAGCTTCTTGGGGGCACTGGGTTTCCCAGACTGCAAACCCCCATCTGGACTTCCCCGTGGGCTCCGCAGCTGGGGGCAGAGAAAAACAACTCACACACCCAGAAAACTGGAAGGCAGGCAGGAGACTGGCTGGGGAGGGGGCGCACTAAGACTCCAAGTGCTGGGGCAGGAGCCAAGGCTCCACTCACCTTAAGGGCATCGGCTGGGGGGGAGATGTCACTGAGCAGGTGGGTGAGCAGGGCCTCTGCTGAGGCTCCTCCCTGGAGCACGCCTGCTGAGGCCCCACACACCTTCACCCACAGCTCCAGGACTGAGTACACCTTGGCCCGCACAGTGCTGCAGTGAGAGCAACGAGAGAGGTAATGGCAGGAGTGTCTGTCAACCTGGTCCTACCCCTCTCCCCTTACCCTCCCAAGACTCTCAGCCGAGCAAAGGCCCACCCAGCTACATCCCCTTCCTTGACAGTCACCTGTAAGGTCTCTCCTGGCCGGGAGAGAGGGTGTCCCTACCCACGTTCCAGGCATTGAGGACCTGGGGGAGCAGGCGGCTGATCAGGCCCCCAAAGCGCACGAGTCGGCTGCCAGCCCTGGAGGCAGAGAGAGTATGGTGAGTCCCACCTAACCAGCACGTCCCAGTCCCGGGCACCGCTGGCCTGGTCACACTCACGCAAGGATGAGGGCGGAGAGCAGGTCCAAGGCTTCCAGGTGGACTGAGGGCAGCAGCAACAGCCGCAGAGGACCATCTCCAACCAAACTCTGCAGGGAAAGGAAGACTGAGCAAACAGAAGGAGAGGAAGAGACAGACACGGGTACAAAGTAGCTGAATGTGACTCAACACAGGTGGACATATATGCAAGGAACCTGACTCCTCTTTAACAAAATCAAGTGCCCCCTCCGCCCCCCACCCCACCCACACCCTTAACACCAACCGTGGAAGGAGCGTAGGGTCTGGCATGGCTGAAGCTCTTGACAATGATGCAGTGGATGCCCAAATTCACACCCCAACCTTGGGCAGCATCTGCTACAGGTGCTCCCAGGGGGCATGAAAACACCCACTCGACAACAGCCTGGGAGCGGCGCACGCGCACGCGGGCAGTGGTGTTCGGACAAGACAGCCACCTGGGACAAACTTCTAGGGCAGCACTGCTCAGCGGCTCTGAAACCCTCTCTAGTGCTTCTGTAGTTCCAAGGCAGGGCTAGGCATCGAGGACAAAGTCTACTTACTATATTCTTGGCACCGATGCTGAGAGTCCGGCAGATGAGATCCAGGATTTCCTGCACAGGGACGGACACGGGAGGCCCGAACTCAGAGCTACAGAGAGAATCAGAGCAGAGACCCTCAGCAGAGGTGCCCCAGCGAGACTCTCCACTCAGCCTCATATGCCTTCTCAGGCAGGGGTGGGGAACGGCCAGCCCTTAGCCACAAACGACCAGCTACCACCACATGCCTCGTCAAAGAGAAGCAGTTCCAGCCATAACATCCGGGGCTTGGGGGGTGGACCAGTATGGCCCGCATTTACAAATGATGTTATAAATATCCATGTGGCCCGTGGCAGGAAAATGGCTCCCCAGCCCTGTTCTAAGGGATGAAGATGGCACTCCCACTCCATCGAAATGCAGTTCTTGCTACCCCACCCCAGCCCCACGCACGCGTGCATCCCCCCCAGGCGTGTGCACCCCAACACACACACACACACACACACACACACACACACACACACACACACACCTGAGCAAGAGGCCCAGGCAGCGGGCCAGTCCAGAAAACTTCTGCTGAAGCTGGAGCAGCGCATGGGAATCCCTGTCTTCTGAGGGTGCCAGCAGTGTCTCCACGCCAGACCCCTCATACTGCACAGGAACTAGAAGAAACCGCCACCTTTTGTACTAGATGCCTTTCATCCACTCTGCCATCTTCGTTTCTTCGTTTCTGGCAGACAACCCACCCAATCTTCAATGGTGCCCCTCACTCCCTCTGGGCTACCCCCCTCCTTGCCTCCTGCCAAGTGCCCCAGCCCCTGGCCCCATGGACGTTCAGACCTGGTCCCTCACCTGTCTCTGCTCCCTCATACAGGGTGCCCAGCACGCTGTGCAGGGAGGCCAGCAGGGAATTCAGCTCCTGCTCCCAGCTCTCTGTGTGCTTCAGGCCGTGGGAGAAGCCAGCCCCTAAGGAAGGCATCCTGGAATAACACTCGCAGGCCAACTGCGGAAGCAGCATCAGACACCTGGTCAGACAGGAGCACCACAAGCCCCAGCCACAGACTCCTCCCACCCCACCTAGGCCCAGGAAAAAGGGAAATGTAAGAAAGCGCTGAGGGAAACATAAGAGGGGGCAGTGGGCAAGACACAGACGAGAGCATGACCTAAAGGTAGAGGCAATCTGGGCATCAGCCAGTGGGAAGTGGCAGTATGGTCTGAAGCAACAGCTGAGAAAAAGCTAAGAAAGAGATGAGCAGAGAAGTCCCAGACTCAGGTCCCCAAGCCACTACTCCCCGCCTTCCCCGTACCTGCTGGACATGAGGGCTCAGAGCATTCACCCGAGACAGGAAAAAGGCAGCCAGCTTGCCCTAGATTGAGGGGGGAGAAAAGAGGCAGGTGAGTCAGCTCCAAGGACCAGAGGAATACACCCTGGCATACCTGGCGGCAGCACCTACGGCCACAGACACAGGAAACAAAGGCAGCAACGCCTCGCAGCAGACAGGTTTCCCGAATGGAAGGGCATCACTAAGGCGGTGCGGTGGAGCTCAGGGAGAAAGGAGCAGCAGAAGCTTCTGCACGCTGCACGGTGGCTCAGAAGCTAATGCTCTAAGCCCTCGAACCACCCAACAAGCCCTGGACACACTGGCACCTGTTGGGAGAGTCTTTCGAACCCCCACTGAGACTTGGAAAGCACCTCCATGTCTGACAAGGGTGCGTTTCAGAACACTCAAACCCGGCGACAGTCACCACCCAGCAGGTTACCAAGTCCCTGGCTTCTCAGAACAGTGTCTCTCAGAGCTGCCAAGGTCTCCGTGATCGTGGCCATTTTGGCCACCGTACTGCACGTGTTCTTCCCGAGACATGCATGGATCCAACTGTGGCTCCAAACGCCGGGCTAAGTCCAACAGACGCAGAGCAAAGACAGCTGGCCTGGCTCTGACCACAAGGTCTGCTCTGGGCAACACACACACACACACACACACACACACAGCCTCTCCCAAGCAGACTCAGTCTTCCCACTCTTTCCAGGGAACTCTTTCTTCATCCATTTGGTGAGGTACAACTCCTGCCGGGATTTACTTCATCGACTCAACATGCCTGGGAGACGTCATTTGGGGGAGTAAACCTGAGCCTGGCGACTGCAACTGCTCGAGGGACGACTGAGGGAGGGAACCCACAGCAGATAAACACTTCAAAATGGCCAGTATCCGTTTCCTAAGACCTTGGGCCACAAGCTTTTCCAAGTGCGAATCACCTCGGGGCGGCTGTCAGGAATGTGAACAGCCGTGCTAACCAGCAGAATGCACTGGAAAGTGGACTGCTTCCGGTGTAGTTAGGTCAAGATTTAGCACCCTATCGTTTGATCTCCCTCATAATACAGTTAAACGTCTTCTTGTTTTTAATATTTCCTTTCTTTTTTTATATATATATTTCCTTTCTTTTCGGTTGAGGTTGTTATCTGTTTTATTTTGTTAATCTTGTTAGTTTTGTCTGTGTATGAAATCTATAGAGATAGTAACTGGATGAACGGTTTCTTGGGGTCTGGCAGGGGAGGCTGGGGTCATGGGAGCTAATAACGAGGAGCACAAGAATGAAGAAACAGTTCTAAAACGGACTGTGGTGATGACTGTACAATTCTTCTTGATGTGCTGAACTACTGAATTGTCTGCCATGTACATTATATGCCAATAAAATGGTTTTGGGGGAAAAAAAACAGACCCTTACATGAGGTGCCGACAACAGAGGAAGCCAGAAAACCCTCACCTGAGGGCAGTTCTCCAGATGAGGCTGGAGAGAAACAGGCGCATGTGCACCCCATGGACAAAACCGTGACTGCTCAGACCTCGGACCCACAGGACGCTCAATGACCCTCCACTTTCAAGGGGGGGAGGATAGAGGAAAGTGCAGATAATGCCAAGCAAATCAGAATCAACAGTCATTTGCAACTGGATCTGACAAACATTGACCAAGGGGGTGAAGGGCAAAGATCTCGTTGTATCACTCAAGAAGCCAGAATCTTTCTGGACAAAAGCCCTACTCTGCCTCCCGAGACTCTCTCTCCTAGAGTAACAAGGACAGGACTCTATGTTGAAGGAAACACCATCTGCTCGGGGACACTTCAGATACTACAAGTCGTCAGTTACTAAAGCTACTGTCACCACTCCAGGATCACCACTGTCCCTGGAGCTCCACATGTGACTCGAAATCCTTCCAGCCCCAACAACCAATCAGAGCAGATTACCGGGCTGAAACCCATCTGCCAGTGCCATCTTTCTTAAGCTTCTAGGGCGCTGGGTTGAGTGGAAAGAACATGAGTTTCTACGGCAAACAAATGTGGCAGTTACAGAGCCTAAGTGCCTTAAATCTCCATGAGCCTATTTCCTCCTCTGTACAATGGGGTCATACCAACTCCAAAGGCATAATAAAGATAACTTGCTCATAAACCCACTGCTGTCGCCACCTTACAGCACAGATGGGAATGGTCACAGAGGGTTTCCATGGCTGTAATCTTTATACAAGCAGACGACCACAACTTTCTCCCAAGTTGGTGGATCTGAAATGCCAACCTTCCAGTTAGCAGCTGCGCACTTAACCACAGTGCCACCGGGCTCCTCGGACTTGCCAGTAGAACCTTTGGTGTTACTTTCAAGGAAATTTGAATGGCAAGCTCTCCTCATGGATCATTACACAGTCAGCCACACTAGTTATGCAAGATGACTTTCTGCCACCTCTAGCTGCCTAGCTGGACACTTCCATCTGTGTAAGGGGACAGAATGGCTTGTCGAGGCAACAATGAGTGTAACAGAGTGAGAACGAGCACTGAATCTATAGATATCAGTGGGCATCCAATTTTACTGGCGACAAATGTGCTCATTACAAATAGCGCTCTACCTTTTACTGCTTTAGCAGAATGTGCTAGCCAGTCCTACGTGTGATTTTATCTCCTGCAATGATTTCACTGGTCTCCTCTCTTGCCTGAGTCACAGACCTCCTGCCTGTTTCTTCTAGGACTTCGCTGAACAGCCACTTTTATGGCTCATGACAGTTTGGGGGAGGAGGGAGGAAGTGATAGAAGTAGATAAAACATACGAGGGTGAGTCAAAAAGTACTGCTCCCAAAGTCATATAAACCCAAAATGTCAAAATGTGAAGCCACTGTTTCTCAATCCAGTCCTCAACAAAGTGCACACACTTCCGAAGGGGGTGTTTCCAGCTCTCCAACCTGTCCTCCAAGGAGTGTGTGCACTTCCATTCACACATCCAAATGGCAGCCCCAACAGCATTCCTAGGAAATGCTGAGTGTTAGGATGAAAAGGAAGTCTGAAGGGGCAAGATCGGGGCTGTCGGGTGGGTGGAATAAGGTTTCCCAATGCAGTGTTTACAGGACGGCCCTCACCACCTTCAAGGAATGACCAGGTGCACTGTCATCCAGGACCACTAAATATCCCCTAGTCCAACTTTCCTGGTCTTTTCCTCAACAACGTAATTTTTAATTTTCTTAAGACTTCTTCATAATTAGGGTTCATGATTGTCCTGTGTCCTGTAATAAAAATGTATCAAGAGTACCCTTTTGGAATCTCAATAAAAGCTCCTATAGCCTTCTGAGTCAAGCTTTCTGCTTTGAATTGAGATGGCCCAGCAGATCCCATGAAATGTGATCTTTTTCTTAAGGCAACCTAATGAAACGAAGAGAAGCATATTACTGAGATAACTTATCAGCAGCTATCCACTAGTTGCAGTGAAGTGTTTAAGCTTAATTTTTGGTTGGAATACACCCAAGCATAATTGAATTGGAATCCTGGTATCAACACTTTCTGGCCTACCCTTGTACAAGGAGAGAGGAATGTTGAGTAAGCTGTCATAGGGAAGTGCTAAATCAAGGTTTCCTTGAGGACATCACCAAGAGTTTTAGGAACAAAGGAACATAAATAGGAGAAAAACAGGCCAGGCCTATTAAAAGATATAGCATCTGGGGTCTTAAGGGCTTGAAGTTAAACAAGCGGCCATTTTCAGGGAAGCAACAAAGCCCACATGGAAGAAACACACCAGCCTGTGTGATCACGGGGTGTCAATGGTATCAGAGGATCAAAAACAACCAATTACATCAATGCAAATGAGAGGGGTTAGAGTGGAGACCCAAAGCCTACCTGTTGATAACTGAAAATTCCCTCACAGAAGGGCCACACGGTAGGGACCATTCATCCGGGTATAGTATAGCCCCGATGAAACACACAACATTCCTCTCTAGTTCTGTTAATGCTTCCTTCCCCCCACTATCATGGCCCCAGTTCTACTCACAAATCCTGCTAGACCGGCATATGTACATTGGTACACACAGGAGCTTTCGACAAAGGGAATCCAGGATAGAAAAACCCCTCAGAAGGAGTAATGGGAGTAACGATTCCATAAGGGTATGGGAAGCGGGCAGGGGGACTGATAGCAATAATAGATGCATAACCCCCCTCGAGGCAGACTAAAAACAGAACTGTGTGTACAAGGATACATCGGACAGTCTAAGACATGAAAAAATAATAATATATAATTTATTAAGGGTTCATAAAGGTTGTAGGGTGGGGAAGGGAGGGAATAAAGAAGAGCTGTTATCAAAGGGCTCATACAGAAAGAAAATATTTTGAAAATGATGATGGCAGTTCACTAGACATGATTGATTTATGGATGCTTATAATATTTGTAGGAGCCCTCAATAAAATGATTAATAGGGTGGTGGGGGAAATACGCCAAACATTCTTAAAATAGAGAAGATGAGGCAGAGAGGGGAAGAAGTCCACAGTTAAGTGCTGGACTTTAGTATCATACAATTATGGGTTCTGGCCCCCAATAACTATGGGCCCGTTACCCAGTTACTCAATTTCAACTTCTTCCTCTAGGTGTTCCACTCGCATAAGGAGCTCGTCTCGAAAACCAACAAGAGCAGGTCGGCCTGTTACATAAGGCTCAAAGTGTTGCTATGAGTCGGAATTGAACCTATGGTAGTGTTTGATTTTTGAGGGTTTTTTTGAGGGGAGATGAGGATTCTATGAGCTCATGGTGGTCTAATTAGAGTTGAGAGAATACACAATGACACAAGATAGTTGTGGAAATGATGTGGTTGTTAGCTGTCATCACACCATGCATGGACACCCGCATTACACTGGAACTCACTCCTGCGCCAGCCCCCATGATCCGCAGCAGATCAGACCACTGTGATCCAAAGGGATTACACTGGCTGGTATTTAGAAAGAGAACACCAGGTCTCTCTTAAGTTGGCTTAGTCTGGAAGCCCTACATCAGCATCACAGCAGCACATGGGCCTCCAGTGGGTAGTAGCTGAGCACACGGTGCACTGGCTCAGGGTCAAAGGGAGGGAAATCTTCAGGACAACCAGAATACAGGAGATCAGGCAGCTCAGGAAGCAGAGGTAAGGGCGGAGCTATGAAGCACTATGTTGAATATAAACTCCCACCTAACTCACAATAAAAAGTTTTTTGTAAGGGAGGGAGGACTTTCCCAGGAATACTTACTTTAAGAGAGCCACATGCCCGAGGGAAGTAGATCATACAAGCTTTCATCCCCTCCAGTGCCGACAGCTCGCACTGTGGGAAACACAGACAAGTGGTGGGTAAGAGATCATCCATCACATCACACCATCCCTACCCCAGCTCCGCACCGGGACCCAGGAGTCCTTTCTCCAGAGCCCCACCCTATTCCCATCGCATTCCCTAATGCCATCCATTATTGTCTTTAACCCAGTGTGTAAGAGTGAGGATCAGCCTCATGGAGAAGTCACACTTGGAGATGGGGGGACTCACCTCTGGTCGGAGGCCCAGCAGGGACGTGAGAAGGCCAGGGAGGTGGTTTGTGGAGATGTCCCGGAAGAGCGTTGGAAGCTGGGCTGCGTATCGGAGCAAGTCCTTCAGCACAGCCACAGCCAAATCCATTGTGGGGACTGGATCCTGGGACTAAAGAGCAATGACAACCCATGTTTGCAGCCTCCCTTTCGTGGCCGTCCAGTGGAGGAATGGCAGGCACAGCAACACAGGCCTTTGAGGAAACACTCCTGTCGATTTTAATGTCAACATTACCAACAAACCCATTATCTACCTCTAGGAATACAGGGCACTGGAGAGGTGAAGTATCCAAAAGTAACATGTTGTCTGACAGCACAGTCCTATGTTTACATTTAAGGATTAAGGGTACTTGGGTTCCTAAATATTGGGGGAAGAAAAAACAAAACAAAGTCACACCTTAAAGTTCTGACTAACCAGATGACCTCAAGGGATTCTTGGTCCCCCATACTGTGATTTCCTGCTGAGAACGAGAAACAGCACCATTCGGACAAAAACCATCTAAGCTTACCTTCAGCCTTAACAAAACTACCCCACCTCTCGCAGGTAGTTCCAGCCCATTTAGAACATCCAGTGAATAAGTCATTGGAATCAATAGGCCTTCCTTGGAAAACTAACCAAGTATTAACATGCTGAATTAATATTTGGCCCCTGTCTTCTGCTAAGCCAGAGAAGACCATGTGACAGCGAAGCAAATGAGGATGTTTATTAAGAAAACACGCGCAAGCCTGTGTTACAGGTATACTTACAACAATGACCCCCAGAAAATATGAGCTTCTGAGGCAGCTTATGTACACCTAAAAATCTCCTGGGCTTTGGTTTCTTGGTTCGGAGGGTTAGCGTCATGGTTTCATGGGATATCCCAGTGAGTTGTCTAGTGCTTCTGTTCTACCTCCTCGCTTGTTGCCTGGGGATCTTTAAAGGTCCCAAGAAGTTATCCCAGGCAGTCTCTATTTGCCTAGAGCCATACAGGGGAGAAAAAGTCTGGAACTGGAGAAGGAAATGGTTGTGTGGCTAAGTGTTTCCACAAACAACTGTCTTCCACAGCTCGGGCCCCAGAAGACATGAACTGTGCTCAGCTACCATTTCTGAACACTCTGAGCAGGAATCTATACAAGTAACCTTGTCAAAAAGCAAGGAGATGCCAAAAAGAATTTCAAATGCTCATGAAATCTGATTTTTCTGAAGCAATGGAGGATAGATGACACCCCCACACACACACAAAAGTACTCTGAGATTATCCTTAAGCTTTAAACCAAAAATATCCCCTCAAGTCTTCAGAAAACCAAGCATTCTGGGTAAACAATGTCCACCATAAGCATTGTGCTCTGTTAAGATACAGCTGTGCGGGATCAAAGTGACAGCAGCACCTGCAAAGCTGAGCACCTTAGACGGCAGAGCATTTCCATTCACGGAGGAGGTGCCTCTCAGAGAAGGAAGCTGGGACTGGCCGCACAGCCTGAAGCCTGTGAGCAGCCTCACTGAACTGCACACGCAGAAACTGCTCAGTCGGTGTGTCTTGCTGTGCATATTCTCAATACGCATACATAAAACAAGCAAAATTACTAAAAATAAAATGTAGCTTTTCCCATCACTGCAGCAGCAGTGGCAAAAATGAAATGCAATCCCTTGGTGACTTCAGAGCAAAAATCAGAAGAGGCACTTCATGATCACAAGATGAAGTCTACCCTCTTTCCAAAGCAGTGGGACGGAAATACAATGTTCAGTCCACGCCCATCCACAAGGATGATGACGTTCAGGCTGTACGAGGACATTATTACAAAGGTCAGCAAACTGGCAAAGCGGTCCAGGGTCACAGAGAGAAATGGGTCGTCTACATTCAGTGGGTGCAGCAAGATACGGTGAATCACAAAGCTCAAACTGGAGGAAGACCTCAAAAAGATCGCCGAAAAATTGAGGAGCTGGTACCAAGGGCTCAAGTAGAAAGCAAACGTTTTGAGAATGATGATGGCAACATGTGTACAAATGTGCTTGACACACTGGATGGATGGATGGATTGTGATAAGAGTTGTACGAGCCCCCAATAAAACGATTAATAAAAAAAGAAAGATCGCCGAACGGACAACCAAACTCACCAAGTAGAAAAGGAAAAGGACAACTATAAGAAGAATCAAAAATAAAGATGCAAAAGTAAGATAACTTCCATAAAAGCTGGCAAAATGGGTTCACAAGGGAGGAGAGAGTGGGGAAGGAGGGGAAAAAATGAGGACCTGATGCCAGGGGCTTAGGTGGAGAGCAAATATCTTGAGAATGATGAGGGCAATGAACGTACAAATGTGCTTTACACAATTGATGTATGTATGGATTGTGATAAGAGTTGTATGAGCCCCTAATAAAATGAACAAAATTAAAAAGCTGGCAAAATTGAAAGAAAAGAAAATGCGCTAAAATCAGGTGCCGTGGTGGCACAGGTGAAAAAAGGTCAGCCGTTCACGGCACGTGCCTCCTCTGAGGGAGCAGGAAGAGCAGACAGCTTCTACACAGGCTTGGGGGCCCTGTGGTCCACTTCAACTCTGTCCTCCAAGGTGACAGGAGTTCCATCAAGTCCCAGGCTACAGGTACAAAGAAAGAATACACAGGGAGCTGCTAGCAGAAAGGACAGTGAGGGAGTGTAGCTGGTCTCACCCACTGCCACCAAGCTGATTCCAACGCACAGACTCTACACCTAGAACAGGACTGCCTGTGTGGGCTTCTCGTCTTTCTGCTGTGGAGTGGCTGGTGGTTTCAAACTGCTGACCGTGCTGTTAGCTGTCCAACTCAGAACCCACTACATGCCACCAAGCAGACCTTTACGACTGACATCGATACATGCTCAAGTCGCTCCTATCTCAAAACTCCTTTCCTAGAATCCATTCTCCCCTTGACAAATGCCACTTATTCCCTAACTGCTCTCCCTTATTTTCACAGCCACACAGCTAAAACGGTTTCCCTACTTCGCTTATTCCCATTCCTCTCCTCCGGTTTGTTTCTTATCCCACACCATCTGGCTGCAGGGGCCACTGAACCTTCAAAAGCACTTTCACTCACCCTAATCTCAACAACCTTCAGTCTTCACCTTGTTCCACCAAGCAGGAGCAAAAATATAAATGGCTTCCTCGTCTCTGAATTATCTCATGGAGTCCAATCAGCCATCATAATGGGTATCTCTTTTCTCTCTGCTGTGCTCTCTTCTTTTTAAATTCATCTTCATCTACCGACTGTAACAGTGTGCAGTATCTGGAAATTCACTCCCTGGACTCCTTCATCTCAGTCCATTTGTCAATTATCTAAATGCTGAAGATGCCAGTCCTTTGGAGAGCTTACGGAGCTGAACCCTCAAGACCTCACTGAGAGTCCTGGTCGCTTCCACTCTTACTTGCTAAGAGGGCCTCTACTGAGTGCCCCAGGCCACACCCATGGCACTGCCATCCCTCCACTCAGAACCTAGTTTCTTCTAGTGCTCTGAAATCCAGGAGTCACCCTAGACACATCTTCCTGTCATTAATCCTAACTCACGTCAACTTCTCAATCTCTCGCAAATCCATCCACTTCTCACTTCCACTGTCTCCAGTCCAGTCGACCATGAGCACTCTACATGGTTTTCTTCTTCCACTCTGTACTCTCAAACTATCACAGCCACCAGTGATAGTTCAAATTAAAAATCAGATCACATCACTACCACCACCACCTCCTCACCCTTTAAAAACTGTCACTGCTCTCAAGGTAAAAACCAGAATTATTACCATGGTCCAAAGGCCATGCATGGCTTGCACCCATCTACCATTCCAGCCACACCAGCTTGCCGACAAGTCTTCAAAAGGGGCCAGCTCCTCTTTTCTTCTTTTCCATCCTTAGAACACTCTTCACCCCTTCCTTAGCCCAATGAGTGCCTATTATCAGTGCGGAAGAGGTTTCCCCGAAGCACTAATCCCAGTCACCACTACCAGCACTGCCCCATCCCAGCCAGGGTCAGAGTCTGAGGGTCACCTCCCTGTGCTTCCTCAGGGTACCTCAGGGTACCACTTCAAACTCGTGTATAAAATCACATACCAAACTCCAGTGGCTGCGGGTGGTTCACAAACTAAGAATGGGTCTTATATTTTTAAAGGGGCTGGGCACACACACACACACAAAGCAGTACACAAAAGAGATCATATGTGGTCCACAAAGCCTGAAACATCCTATTGGGCCCTTCATAGAAAAGAACATGCCCCCCCCCCAAAAAAAAAGAACATGCCAATCCTGGCCCTAAACTGCAGGCACCAGGGAAGCCAGGCTGTGTACATTTTACCTGTCTCCCCAAATCTGAGCAAGCAGCCTGCCATGGGAGCTCAGCAAACCACTGCTGAATAAGCATGTTGGATAACAGAAGATGTCATCAAGGAATGTAAAAGCAGAGGGAAAACTTAAAATGTTAAAAGAAGCCAAAAAAATAAAAAAAGGTTCTGGGAAAAAGAACTTTATCCATATCCGGCATTCGGAAAGGTAAGTAAGGAGTAAACCTGTGTAAAGGTGAGCTGAATCTAACTAACCCTGTTCCTATTTGAAGCTCATTCTCCCTTCCACCAGAAAATTTACTTCCAATGATTCTGTCAATCTCAGAATCAACTAAATGTCCAGTCCCCGAAGAACATCTACCACAGCCACGGTGGAAAACTAGGAGTCAGCACCTGGATCCTTACCTGGAGGATCTGCTGGATGCTCCGGAGCCAAGAGACACAGTGCTGCTGGAACATCTCCGTGGGGCTCTCTCCAACCAGCAGGGACAGCAGACACAAGCCCTCAAACCTTAGAAGAAAAAAAGTGATGACAAGCGGGTAAAGAGTCCTACTTAGGGCTCTTCTACTCTCGCGAGACAACGCAAGACTTCACGCAGATCCACGGTGGTTCCTTTGGGATACTTACCTGGAGGACTTCAGAATGAGGGGAGGGCAGCAAGGAATGAATCGAGAAGTAATCTCAGGGGAATAGGGAATCTGAGAGCTAAAAAAGGCAGGCTTCAACTCAAGCAAGCTCACACACACAAAATTAAACTCCACTCGCTAAGGGAATGGAGAAATTTCTTAAATCCATGGGGTGATGACAATGGATGGGGACAGATAGGGACCCATTTCCTCAAGTGTATCCCACTGGAGAAAAAAACAGGGTCAAAGACTTACCGGGTTTTGATAGAACGAAGACGTGCGTTGCTGAGACCCACTAATGCCCCAAGAGCCGAAAGGTTCTGGAGGAAAGAAAACAGGGAAGTGAGTGGGATGCTAAAGACTCAGGAGAAGCTCTCCAAGTCTTCCTTGGTACCTATGAAGGCTCTTCTGAGTCACACCTCCTTCTAAGGGCAAAGATCATTCCCCTAAAGGCCCTCAGCCTTTGTCCTATTTTCTGTGGATAGCACACACAGAGACCTACCCCTCAGGCTTTCCTCAAATGATACTTTGCTGGTTCCTCCCCTCATGCACCACTCAACAAATAAACGCTATCCAGAAGAGAGTCCTAACTCATCCCAGGTGCTAGACATCAGAAATCTCCAAAATCCTGCAGAGCGCCTAGCACAGAGTAGACATATAGTTGAATGGACACTGAACTTGCCCATTATCCTTCTCCCAGCCCCAAACAAATCCTCCTTCTCTGCCTGTTCCTGGTTTCCATAGAATTGGTAAGAACGCCAAAAGCAGCCCTAGCCAACCAGTCTTCCTCCCAACCCTCACATTTTCTCACATTCTGGGAGGCCCAAAAGATGTTTCCCACCAGCCTCCCACAAGTAACCGCTCCATCCCTTGAATGGTCAGACCCTCCTCACAGCACCAAAACCAATTCTACCAGCAAACACATACGAGGAGCTTCCAAAAGCTCATGGAGGAGTCGACTAAGTCCACATAGAACAGCAGTTCTCAACCTGGGGGTCGCAACCCCTTTGGGGGCCTAACGACCCTTTCACAGGCCCCATTCATAACAGTAGCAAAATTACAATTATGACCCAGCAATGAAAATAATTTTATGGTTGGGGGGGTCACCACAACATGAGGAACTATATTAAAGGGTGGCGGCATTAGGAAGGTTGAGAACCACTGACATAGAAGAACATCAGCTTGTGTGATCCAAAGATCTTCAATAAAAAGGAGGGAACGGTACAAGAGCTTAAATTGTGCACGCCTCGTTTGCAGGATGGGTGACAGCAGAAGCCCAACATCCCTTTGCAGAGTCCACACATGCATTAAGGCTCTGGTGAATCCCCTCGGATCACAGCGCAGGGATGGGAACAGCCTTGTTATCAGGCACCATCATTAAGTCGCTTAGGCAGAGTTAAAATGTAATAGCTAACCATTTGGTCTCTCTTTTAAACTATTTTAAAGTTGTTTCAGTTTTTTTTAAAAAACTGAATGGGAAATACACGTGCAGTAAACCTCTGGTGAATTCCTCTGACCACAGACCAGGGATGTGAAGTGCCTTGCTATCATGCAGAATGCACTGGAAAGATGATTGCAGATGCAGTTAGGCTAATATGTAACACCTTATTATTTGAGCTCCCTTTTGATACATTTTAAATTTTTTCTATTTTTTAATATTTTCTGCTTTCTTTTCAATTGAGGATTTTATCTGTTTTACTTGTTTTTGTTTTGTTTTGTTTAAATGTTCTCTTGTATATGAAACCCAAGAGAGGTAAACCTATAGACAGTACCTGGATTAAAAGTTCCTTAGGGGTATGGCGGGGGAGGTTGAGGGAAAATGGGGAGCTGGTAACAAAAAGTTTAAGAATTTAGAAAATGTTCTCTAACATTGATTGTGGTGATAACTGTACAACTCTTCTTAAAATGATTGAATACTGAACTGTAATAATATGAATTATATGCCAATAAAACTGATTTTTAAAAAGTTCATGGCAACATGGGACTGAAAGATAGCGAAAATGTGTCTGAATTTTTCGAAGACCTCTCACATGCACTTAGTCAGGTGAAGGAATATGGGGTGGAACAAAAAACAAATAAGGTACCTTCTCTCATGCAGAAAAAGTGTTCATCCCTCCCCCCCCTTTTTTTTGGGGGGTGCCACAATAGGTCTTTTGCAAGATCTTTTCTAATACAGGTCTCAAGTGAGGTTTTTTAAGCACAAGGGAGCTCATATGCTAGTTAGAGGAGACAGTAAGAAAACAATGACCAGACTAACCTGTGAGACCTGGTTAATGCGAGATGCTGTGAGACTAATCAATTTGTCAAGGGAGTGAGTGTAAACAGAAGAAAGACCGTGCAAAAGACTGGGTTCCTGGGCACAAAAACCTTTAGGGACCAGAGAGAGCAGAGGAACTGGTCAAGGAGTCTGAAAAGGAGTGCCTCTGTGGCAAGAGTGACATTCCAGACACCAAGTGAAGCTAACTTTCCAAGAAGGCAGGAATGATGAAATGCTACAGGTAAGTCCAGTAATGTAGACCTGAATTTAAATTTTGCATTTAATATCTTGATGACCTTAATAAAAAGCTGTTTCATCCAAGTGGTTTTGCTGAACGACTAAATGGAGTAAGTTCAAGAAAGAATGGAACAACCACAACAGCAGTAATTCACTCAGGGACGACTCGGGGTGGGTGAGAGACTGACAAAATACAAGATACTTACATAATTGCAAAGCATCTCCCCACACGACCCTCCTTTACAAAGGGAAAGGGTCTAACTTAACAGTGAAGAAATCTGGTAGATACCACCAGAACCAGTGATCAAAGCAAATAGCCCACAGTGTACCACCTGGGATGGGATGGTACACTGAGGGGACACGCTATCACTTCTGTGAGATTCCCACCAACAACACACAACCCACATTTAGTTACCAGTAAACAGGAGACAAACCAAATTGAGCGACATCCTGCAAAATAATGGCTCTGCACTGTTGCCATCAGTGAACGCTGACTCACTGTCTCTACAGGACAAAACAGAACTGCCCCCAGGGCTTCCAAGGCTGTCATCTTTCAGAAGCTGACGGCCGCACCTGGCCCTGGCCGCACCTGCCTCGAGCAGCAGCTGGTGCTCTCCGACCTTCCGGGTCACAGCCAAGCGTCTAACTACTGTGCGAGGAGGGCATCCAGAAATTTCCAAAAATGTCAAGATCGCAAAATAAAGCCTAAAGAATGATTTCACACTCTGAACAACTAAAGAGACATGATCATTGATGCAGTGTGTCATCCTAGCCTGGACACTTCGTTTGCTTTGTTTGGTTTTTTGCTTTTGCTAAAGGACACCTGTTGGGTGGTTGACAACATGTAAGATTTACAGCTAATTTTCTGAGTTTGATGGAGCATGATTATGAAGAAAAGTTGCTTTCTTTTAAAGAAATATACAGTGAACCCTCGTTTATCGCGGTTAATCGGTTCTAGACCCTACCGTGATAAATGAAATTCCGCGAAGTAGGATTCCTTATTTGTAA